GTGGTTTTTTAAGGTTTTTTTTATTTAGAAAAGTATGTAAATAATATTTTTTTTATTTTTAAAAAATTATTTTTAAAATTAGCATATTAATATAATTTAAAAATAAAAAAAATACTTTAATTTAAAATAAAAAAAATTAAATATTTTTAAAATATTTTTAAAACACAGCGTAAAAAGAGTACTTTCCCTTTTGCATGTCGGGGGAGAAAGAAAGCAGTACTTTCCCTAACTTCCCAAATGACCAATGAAGCTTGAAAGCAGTAATAATAGCCTAACACGACAACAAAGAGAGAGCACAAAGGACAAACAAAAAAGAAATATACAAAAAAGTACTTATTTTATTAAGCTAAAAGGCTATATAATCTTCTTAAATTACCCTTAAAAAATAAGAAAAGAACTCTTCAAATCATAGCATCTGATTGACTTTAGTGGATCAAGGAGTGTGCTTGTTTGAAAATTAATTTCCTTGATACATTATAGGTTCATTTTAATTAAAAAAGATGACATGATTTCAACAAACCGTTTTCTTTTTATCATACAGATCCTTTTACCCGCATCCAACTAATTATTTCACTAGGCCAATAACCATAGTCACATTGTGGAAAGCGTTCCCAGACTGTGATATCACTGCCATAATATTTAAATTTATTGACAGAATTTTATAATGGTATTTATATTATTATTTTGTTAATAATTAATTTATTAATAAAATTATTGATAGAAATATTTTATCGGTAATTTTTTTTTATTTGTAAGTAATAAAAAACTATTATTATCGATGAATTTATTAACAGAAAAGGCACGTAAAAAAATTATTCACTTCATTCCTTAGGTATTTCCTTTAAAAAATACCGACTGTAATTCCATCGGTAATTATTTAAAAATTCAAAAAATACCGACTGTAATTCCGTCGGTAATTATTTAAAAATATTTTAAAAAAATTCATTTTATAAAACTATAAAATAATTAAATTAATATAAATCAACACTCTATAATACTTAAAACGCTTGGAAAAATAAAAAAGAAAAAAATCATATGAAAAAAAATCCTATAACAACATTCGTACAATTATTAAGAATAAAAACAATTAAAATAAAATAAAATAACAAATATAGTGAAAAAAACATGAAAAAAAAAATCTTACTTTAATGTGGGTACAAGTGAAGCTAAGAAGAGAGAAAAAAATTCATAAAGCATATTAATTAAAAAAATAAAGAAGAAAAAAGAAAAAAAAAACAAGAAGAATCCATACCTGAGTATGAAGGGAAAGAGGAGTTGAGAAAAAAAAAGAGAAAAAAATGAATATTGATATTTTTTACATATGAAGAAGAACAAGAACAAGAATAAGAAGAAAAGAGCCTCATCTATTGTAAAATTAGGGACTTCAGACTTTTTATTAAGGTGTTTTATCTATGAAAAATTAAATATTAATATTTTTAATTATTTTATCAGTTTGTATGTAATATTTACTTAAATTTTTTAATTTAATCAAAATTTTTCAGAAAACTATCAAATAACACTAATGACTTTTCAATTCATTGGTTATTTTGTCTATAAAAAATAGTAATTAATAGTGCAATTGAGAAATAAATAGTTCCAAAGCTTTATGAAAAATGCCAATGAAATTTTCCATTGGTAATTTCTTCTGTAATTGACATGATGAACAGTGTTCATAATTTACCAATAAATTTACCAACATAATTTATTATATTGGTAATTTCATTGGTAAAAATAGCACGTCATTGTTTTTCTGCTATATTTTAATTATGTCTTCCCACTGTAATTTCCTCGGTAAATAACAAGGGAATTTCATTTATTGATTGGCAATTTACCAATGAAAATATTCTCTCGGTTATTCTGTTTCTATTTATTGATTTTCTAGTAGTTAATTATGGATGTCTTTTTTAGTATTATATTTTTTTTAATTGAGAAATGAAAAGATGGTTTTATGTTTAATAAAATAAATTAAGAAATATATATGAAGTGACAAATAAAAAATTTATCACTTCATATATCTTGTACCGAATACTGAAAAATAAAGAAAATAAATCTTGTACCAAAATTAAATTTTCAAAAACCTAAGGTACCAAACATGAATCAATTGGAAAGTAGAAGGATCAAAGTAAACTTTTCACATCAATTTTGAAACCACCATCCATTTTCTCTATCTCTTTCATTTTAATCATCTAACTTTTAATTTTGTTCTTTATTAACAAAGCTGCCTAAAATTATCATTAATCTAGTTATTTAAGGGTGAAAATGAAGAAAAAATAGTTTAGGGGTGAAGAAAAAATAGTTTAGCATGGAAAAAAAAACACTATCACAATCCAAAGTGTTCAATAAGAAACTATAATAAAAGTATCATTCCTTTTAGTATTTTTTATGATATAATTTCTATTAGTCTCATATTTTACAAATTTGGCCTATCATTTCACTATGCTATAATAAAAATACCAATCCTTTTAGTGTTTTCTATAATATAATTTCTATTAGTCTCACATTTTGTGAGTTTGGCCTATCATTTCACTTTACCAATTATTTGGTTAAAAAATATAAAATAAATAATTATTTTACTTTATCAATTGTTTGGTTAAAAAATAATGATTCAAGAATAACACTCAAATACAATCAGGTTTGGTACTGGGCAAACTTAAAAATTGTTAGGTTTGATGCTGCCATGCCCAGATGTTATTAGACTGGCAACAACTTCCAGGTCAACAAGCTAGGCTGAGTGCTACTAGGCCAACAATCTAGGCTTGGAGCACTGATTAGTACTTAAAAGTGCATTTTTATCATGGTTTTATATCATCATTTTGCACTTGAAATATCAATAACTCCTTAACTAAAATATATTTTATAATAATGTATCTAATAATATAAGATACCTATAATTTATGGTAAATATCTATTTTTAATGCAGGCCTATCACATAAATGAAAGGATTGATTGATGACTTGAAGAACTTAAATTGCAAGGATAAAGAGATGGCCAAACTTAGAAAAGAGATGTCGGTGCAATCCAAACCGGAACACTGTTCGGTAATTGGGTCATATCTGGAGCTACAGATCTCAGATTTAGGTCCAATTTATATGGATGGAAAGGTAAGACATAGGCCTACAACTTTCATATGGAGCCCAAGATCTAAAAAGGCCATTATCAAGTCCAAATTGTAGCAACAACAAAGAAGCCCGAATCTGTCTTCCAGCCCGAGCACTGTTCGGTATTTTGGCCATATCTAGAGTTCTAGAAGTCCAAATGAGCTGAAGTTTTTACACAAGAAAGCTGAGACAATTGCCTACAACTTTCATGTTTACAACTGGCTCCAATTTTGACGTTATCAATGACGTTTTGGGCAGACAAGAGAAGATAAGGATTGTCACCAAGTCAAAAGTTGGTCACCCACTTATCAATTAGTCATCAAATCAATAGTTCCCATTTTTGGCCTATAAAAGGAGGCATTTGCCATGCATTTAGGCATCTTGATTTCCAGATCAAGATCATGCTCTTCCTTTCTCTCTTTGTATTTTTTATGCTTTGTTTTCATTAATATTAAGTTTATGCCTTTCATTTCCTTTCCTTTACTTAGTTAACTTTTATGTTCTTATTTTGTTTATCTATTTTGCTTTCTTTCATTATGTCTAGCTAAGTTAATTATGTCAAGGTGAAAAGGTTACACTAATGGTGTAAGAATAAGTATAATGTAAACTTAATATGGACTTTAATGTTTGATACTAACATGTTTTATATTTGCTATCTTGTTCACTCTTTAATACTTTGCTTGTTAAATGACTAATCTTGATTTATGTTACATAACACTTGGTACAACAAATGTTTGGCACTTTCATAGCCCATAATGTATGGTATAACCGACACCTGAGCTATGAAAGGAACTTGATTTGTTGTTAACATAAGTTATAATCATGAATGCTTGACGAGATTTACAAGTATTAGCATTAATTGAATAAGATGACTAATGTAATCATGTTAACAATATATAATCTGATTGGAACCTCCTTTGTGTGTGGTTTCCAATTCAATAATAAGAGTTTATACTATACTTGTTTGATATACCATTAGTGGAACCTCTAACCTTGACATTTGTTATTATTATTGTTTAATCCTTACATTAATTTTCCATCTCCAAGTTCTCATCATCATCTTCTTCTTCTCTTTCTTTATTATTATTATTATTACTACCACTACTATTACTACCACTACTATTACTACTACTACTACTATTATTATTATTATTATTATTGTTGTTGTTGTACTATTGTCGTTTATAATTTGTACAATTAACCTCCATGTGGTTCGACCCCGATCTTGCCGGGTTATTTATTACTTCGACACTCCTGCACTTGGGAGAAAACATCAATCTTTTAGTCGTGTCAAGCACAGCTCCTGAAGGTGTTAAGTCAAAGATTTTTCTACCATCATGTCCCAAGTGTGGTTAGATTTGCTCTACCCATAAATTTAAACATAACATTGAATTTGGTGCCATTAAATTCCATAGATTTTTACAAAAAAAAATCTTAAATGAATTATTTCTCAACAAATAAGCTTAATTAAAAAGTTTACACTTCATTAACAATATTAAGTGTATTAAAGTTTCTCATGACCTTTTATGTCTCCATCTTCTGGCTAAATAGAATAAGTGGAATATAACTCAAAATATCACGAAAATGAAATTACACACTAACTCCTCTTTATAAAATATCAAAACTCATGGGTTATAAATACATAATGAATCTTTCAAAATAAGATTTATAATCTATATTCTCTACTGCATGCATATTTAAGAGCATCTCTCTCTATAATATTATTGTATTTTCTCTCTCTAAAAATATATTTACTTAAGCTTCTGAAAAATCTCCATATCTATATATAAAAAAAATCTTTTGCAAGTACTAAGTATAAGACACCTTAACCTATCAAGTATTAAGTACAAACTATCAACCATTTTAACCAGGAAAAATGAATGAGATTCTTAGAACCAATTAATTATCTTGAAAGTTCTATTCCTAAATTACTTAGATTTTTAGGACTATGTCACCGAGTTTATTGATAAATGATGCAATAATTAAAAAAATAAATGAAATTCTAATTTGATGCCTTTTTTTTCCAGCAAATTGGTGGTAGCCATTTGATCGCGACCACATCATAAAAGTTTGTTGCCATGCCAAACAACAAACTCCATATACTTTTTTTCAAAGTCACAAACCACCATACTCTTTACGAGATTTAGTTGCGTTTAACTATTTTTTATTGTGGTTTGAAAAAAGTTATTTCATAAAAAGTATTTTTGGTTGAGGTTAGTTCAATATTTATCTATATTTGGTTGAAACTGTAGTTGAAATTGAGATTAAATAAAATTCGATATTTATCTATATTTGGTTAAAAGTGTAGTTGAAATTGAGATTAAAAAAAAAATAGTTCAATGTGTTTGGTTAAACATACTTTTCAAATTGAGGTTATAAAATAACTAAAAAAGATACATATTAATATTGATGGTTTTTAATTTAAATATTATAGATTTAACTACCACTATTACATCATTAAATAAATAATATTTTATATAAAAATATTTTTAATTGTTCCATTAACTTATCTACAATTTCATTTCGTATGAAATTCATCCGATAAGAACTGCAGTTTCCATGGTTTTTTGAGCGTGCAACAAAATTAGATAAAATATCATCAGAAATAAAATTAGAATTGCGATCAAATTCTATAAATACGACGTTATTATGTGATCTCCTTCTAATTAATATAGTGTTGTTGAATAATATTAAATACTAGTTTTTGAGTAAAACACAAATAAAACACAAATAATATTAAATACTAGTTTTTGACTCGTGAATTAATTCACCTAGCACTGTTTACATGAACAATGAACAATAACTCGTGAATTAATTTACCTGACATTGTTCACGTGAACAATACCATGTGAATTAATCCATTTGGAAATGTTCAGATGATGATAATTGCCAAAAACAAATATCAAAAACTTATACTTGAGTTGAAGAAAGAAAGTAGACAACAAATTAGATGGGCCTTGAGTTTTTTCTTTCTCTTGGCAATAAACAAATAAAAATGAAAAATAATAATTTTTTATTTCACTAAAACTGGTGGTATAAATTCAATTTTTAATGGGATCCATCTTTTAAATCTGTGTCCAAAATATTTATCAAATAATTATAAATTATGGTTAGAAGAAAACACAGTTTCAATCACAATACCAATAAATACGATTAACTAAAATTTAAATCTTAGCCATAAAAAATTATCCTCTCATCTTTGATTCATAAGTTAATTTTTTTTGTATTATTCAGAATTTGTCTTTAAAATATAATATAAATATAGCAATTTGTATATGTACGATTAACTTAAAATATAAATCTTAACCACAAAAAATTAGAAGGAAACAAAAATAAATCTAAAGAGATTTTCAATAAAGAAAAAAAGAAAATTTTATACTCTCTATGAATTATTTTTACAGGCGACAAAGCTAGAAATATTTTTCTAGCTGGCCTAAAATCAAAATTTCAATAGTTTTTAGCTCTGAAATTCTAATTTACTAGACTTATGGGAGGCTATTATTATTATTATTATTTTTTGCAGGGGCTGAGGTCTCCATTAACCCTTTGAAAATAATTTTGAGTAGTTATTTCTTAAGCATATTTTGTAGAGAGATAGATATTCGAAGGATAAGAATATTTTAACTAAACTGACAAATATTTCTTTTATTTTTCTCTTTTGTGTTTATTTTAAAATAAAGATAAGTATAAATATCAAGACAACATAACATTGTCAACCCCACCATTTATTTGTTAAGAAAAATGTTTATTTTTAAGGAAAATATTTCTTTTGCAAGAGCATTTTTAATGGGAGATATTATTTCATTAGAAGAGTCATATTAGTAATATGATTTTTTGAAATGTGTAATTATAGTTTTTTATGTGCAATTCAATAATAATAAAAATTTAGAAAAGATAATTGTATTTTAATATATTTAATACATAACTATTTTAATAATATGATACGATAGAGTTGACTTGATAGGCCTACAAATAACCCTAATAATTTTCAATCAATTCAATAATAAATAATAAAATTAAAAAAAATTAGAGTTAACCCGAGTGAACTCTCTAAATTTATAATGTGAATTATAAAATGAAGATAACTTCATAAAAATAAGTGAAAAAATCAATTGAAAAAAAACTAATAATAAAAAATTATTATAATAAATAGTATTTTAGTATTTTTTTTTTCAAGATATATAAGAATAGCATTGTTATAAAAGATACGATGAAATAACATTTTATTTAAACTATTTTTATAACATATAAAATAAATAATGAAAAGCTAAAATAATTTTTTTAGTTTTCCATTTAGATGCTCTGCTTTTGACAAAAAGGTCGCCACAAACTTCGGCGAGTAACGGAGAAGTATAGATGACAAAAGATGACGTGTGAGCAGATGGAGCTAGAGAGACAAATTTTTCCTTTTGATTTCGGGGAAAATGGTGTCCCACGTGCTACTTACGGTCAAAAGACGGTGCCCATTAGGGGACACGTGTGAGACTAACACTCCAATAGAAACCGTAGTGTTGGAAACATTGACCATGAGAATGGATTAGCAACTCGACCTTTATTACATGACTGTGACTGCCTATAAATCGTGGGTGGTCACTCTTCAACCAAAAAGGATGGGTTCATCTAATCTCCTATCCTTGTTCATCCAACCTTTTCTTTTCCTTTTCTTTTTCTTTTTAAAATTTTGAGCCAAAATAATAATAATAACTTTCCCCAATTTGTAACAAGATTTTAGAAAATGAAATGAAATTTAACTTAGACACATATTTTATTTTATTTATTAACAAAATATAAAGATCATGAAAAAAATAACTATGAATTGTGATAGGGAATTAACTATTATGATTTATTTGTTATTTTTGTTTTTATAAGTGTATATTTTTTCTTAAATTTTTTTAGAATAATGAAATAACTCCCGTATTTTTAAAAGCAAAAACCAGATAATTAATTGCTAAAGACTTTTTTAAATTTCATGTTTTTTCACATATTAAAATTACTAACTTACCCTTGAAATTTAATTTAATTTAGGCTTACTTTGGGGGCAGTTTTGGATTTTGACGTTGGGTTTCACGTTTTAATTAGACTAGTAGAGGGTTAAATTGACATTTTATGTATATTAATTAAAAATTATTTAATTTTTGAATTTATCTGACGCATGTTATGACATTACCGAGTGTGGAAGGGTCGCGCCACGCTTCAATGGGAAGTACGACATCATTCGAAGGTGAAACATTATCTTTCACCGTGTCATTAGTTTCTTTGCAACGCCCTTTTTCTTTACCCGTAAATGTTTTGTTTTTCTAGATGACTTTCAATTAGAGTTGCTTTTTCTTTCTCATGTCTTTGAAATCACGTTTGGCAATTAAAATATCAAGGTAGTCCTGTTTACTGGGGATATTTGAGTATTAATTTTTATTTTTGTGATTTATTATTATTGTTTTTGGTTTTTTAATAATTTTTTTTTCAATTTCACTCATCAATTTTTTTTTATAAATTTGGTCTTAGTTATTTTTTTCTTTATTTTTCTCATGTCTCTTTTATAAACTTTCAATTATTTTTAATTTCATCTCTTGATCAAAATATTTAGTTTATTATTTTTTTAAAAAATTGGTATTTTTTAAGGTGGGTTTTTCTTTTAACTCTTTTGTAAATTTGATTTTTTTTTAAATTTTAGTCATTCAATCCAAAATTATCCACCCTGTTTTTTTCTTTAAATTTGATTATTATTTTTTTATTGTTATTTTTTTTATAATTAAATGTTTTTTCTTTAATCTCATTGTTTAACATTTGAATTTTTAAACATTTGAATTTTTAAGATTTAAATTTCATGATTTTTTCAGATTTGATGTTTTTGATCAAATGATCTGATTCATGAGTTTCATGAGTTAATACAAGTTCTTAATTTTTTTTTGTGAACTTATTTTCTGTTTTGATCTCATTAACCCATGTTGATTTAAAAAAAAAAAGAGGTTTCATGGTTTTTTTTATTTTTTTATAAAAATATCTTAATTTCATAATCTAACCCAAGAATTTAACAGATTAATCTAGATAGGCTTATACTTTTTTTTTCTTTTTTAGTTATTTTTTTTGGAAATCCTTTTGTATTATTGACTTATTTTTGGGATTTCAATCACATATGAGTTGCACTAAAACATGATTAAAGAATTGTTAAGTTAAGAAATTAATTAATTTATCAATAACAAACTTTTATCTCCGGTACTTATCTCGTATATACAGGATATCGAGTTACTTCTAATTAAAATACAATTTGGGATATGATATTTTCAAGCTTATAGTAATCAGCTAGAATTTTGAATTATTACCGTTTCTATTAAGTTAGAGTTAAAAGAATAAAGATTTTTGAAATGATCGAATCCTAGCCATGTGTTGGTTATATAGTCTACCATCCAAAATATACAGCAAGAACTTTCATGTTTTTTTTTTTTTTTAATTATTATTATCATGAAGAACTTTCAAGCTGCTAGCTACCACCCCCATATTAAGTAAAATATAGTAAGAATAAATCATGGGATAAAATAAGCATTGAACATGCAAAGGCGTGTCCATACCATATACATAAAATCGTGGAATAATTAAGATCTCTAGTAACAGTGAGTTATTTTATCAGTATTAGGCCTGGTATTGAAGACTAAGAGAAGTGTATAGGAGGAATGTAACATAAAGAAAAAGAAATTAAAAGGAAAAAGAAGAGGGTTTTCTAGACTTAATAATGGTCGTACCCTGTTAAGGATTCAACCTTTGTTGCTTAGTGCTGGACATTGTTAACCAAATTGATAATTTCTATACTTCAGTGAGACTTTTGATACGGTGGGTTGAGTTCAATTAATATAAAAATACAAAAGAGTGGAGATTAGCCAAACCTACCATCTAAACTAAATTCTCCCTCTCTCTCTCCC